GCGTGGGAACAGTGCTCTTTCGAAAACATGTCTGAGTAGTCCCACTTGCTTTAGAGCAATAGATGATGCCCTGGCACAGTGCGTGGAACATCCTACGTCCTCCTGTACCATAACTCCCAAATCCCTTTCGTCAGTGGCATGCGGTAGTATTTGGTTCCCCAGAACGTAAGAGAAACGAGTCTGATGCCGCATGGAAATGACTCTACATTTGGAAACGTTGAACTTGATGTCGTTGGCGATTGACCATCGGTGGGCTGCGTCGATCGTTTGTTACAGTGCTATATAATTCTCAGAATGTGTTACAATTCTCCAGATCTTAGCGTCATCTGCAAATAGCAGTGTATTAGGCCCAAAGACATGTGACAGTTCGTTTATAAATGCAAGAAAGAGACGAGGCCCCAGTAAGGATCCTTGATGAACCCCCCGGGTAGCGATGATAGGCTCCGATTATGAATCACCAACACGAACTGACATGGTTCTTTGTCGGATAAACTCCTTGATCCAGTCCAGAACCAAACCTCTTACTCCGTAGTTGAAGAGTTTCTGCAGTGGAATTTGGTGGTTTACTCGATCAAATGCCTTGGAGAAGTCCAAATAAACTATATCCAATGGCTGGCCTGCGTTGACGGATTTCGTCCACTCATCCCGTGCAAGGAGTAGGTTTGTGGTGCACGAACGCCTGTGCCGAAATCCGTGCTGGGTTGGAGACAAAAGCTCATGCTTCTCCAGATATTCCACCAAAAGATCTGCCACAATACCCTCCATAACTTTCGACAATATCGGAAGAAGTGTAACAGGGTGGTAGTTGGCTGGATCACTGCAAGATCCCCCTTTGTAAATGGGAGAAATCACCCCTTCCTTCCATGACTGCGAAGTTACTGCTTCGTTGAACATCCTTTGGTAAACAACAGCCAGAGGTTCAGAAATGTTATTGGCTAGCGACATCAGAGTCCGGGGATGCATGTTGTCCGCGCCTGGGGATGAATTCTTACGCAAAGTTAATACTTTTGTTCTAACTTTCTCACTGTCAAAAGCCATGTTATCCAGTGAGGGATACGGTATATAGGATAGTTTGCTTGGAATCTGTAATGCTTCGTATGTCGTTGCGGTAAACACCTGAGCGAACTGTTTTTTTGAGGAACTCTGCTGCTTCTAGAGTGGTGGCTGAAACATGTCCGCACGATCTCAATGCTGGTATTCCGCATTTCACCTTCCTTGTAGAAGTGATATGTTTATAAAGTAATTTTGGATCAGAAATGCATTTTTGAGCAAGGGTTTCTTGGTACATCAATTTGTCCTCTCGTACCAACTTGGTACACTGATTTTGCATTAAGGAATAATTAGTCCTAGTTTCGATAAATGGACATCAAAGATTCAAAGATTTATTATGGGAATAACTTACGACCTCATGCTTTTCTCGTCCCATAGGTTCGTGCGGTGGATTAAGAAACAGTGATACATACAAATCTTTTTGTAAACTGTCGCGTGGTACGTGCTTTTTCCACTGCTTTACGCAGCTTCACTTGTGTTGGAACGTAAGATGTGCTAGTGTTTCCTCGAGTCTCAGGTTGAAAGATTCAATGCTTGGTGCACACACGACATAGGGTGGGGGAGAGCTTCAGATCGAACACGTTCTGACTGCGAATGACTGACGCTGGCATTCCAATCGACATTTTGAGACCACTAGTTTAAATGGGTGTCCTCTAAGATGAACGTTGGGTGATAATTTCAAAAGCGGGCGACACGGATGGCTTGGGTTTTGCATTATTTGGTACACCATAATCATATCTCCTCTGATGCGCCGGTAATGATTGGAATATAATCCCGGTGACTTCAGTCTCTCTACGTATGAAAACCGATGCAACCCCCTGACCATTTTTGTGGCCATCCTTTGTGGACGCTCCGGCATCTTGCAA